TTTTTTTTTTTTTTTTTTTTTTTTTTTTTTTTTTTTTTTTTTTTTTTTTTGCTTTGTTATTCTCTGTCTATACACGATTCTTGGGCGGCGGCAACTCTTGTAAAAAATATGGGCGTATTCCAAAGCTTATAAAAAATGTCGTAGACTACAATCTAAATGCTAATCACCTAGTAAATAGTGTACGCCTTACGACTAGCTCCTAAGTCTAAAATATATATGCCTAGCGTTAATAAATAGCAATTATTAAAATTTCAATATTTCATTAAATTAACATGGTATATTCTGCCTTGGTTGTATCTTCTTCTTATGTTTTTGAGACAAATATTTTCAAAGGAAAATAAATACAGGAATACAGGAAACAAACAAACAAAATTATATTTATAACATTAAGACCAATGTTTTCAATTCTATTATTGGGTTTTGTTTTGTTTTCTACTTCTCCTTTTGTTTTTTGTTTTTTGTTTTCAGCTATCACAAAATGAAATACTAAATAAATTACGTTAGGTATTTACACATGGTGGCAAAACGTGTGTTGTTGTTGTTATCATCTTCCCTATATAGCAAAACAGCAAAAGAAATCAAATGGTGTCAACGAACTCATGTTGTCATCTATACATATATATATATATATATATATATAGTATATGTATGTAAGGCTTTACTATTTCGAATAAGTTGTACAATTCTAATTGGTTAATGAAAGCATTTGACTATTGCTTTAATTGCTTCAAGTGAGTGTTATTTGGTCGTTGGTGTTATCGGGTTGCAAGTTGCACTTCTACTAATCTTATTGTTGTATGTCAATTGGAAGTTGATATAAAATGGAGCGTTTGTCGATTTTGGTGTATTTCTCAACACACATTCGGACATGTGAATGCACATACGTATATACGTGCATATAATCAGATGTGTATACATGTATATATATATACAGTCATATATTTACATATAATCGTGCATATCTTGCATGCATACACATGTACTCATATGCACATATATGCATGCACACATGTTCATGCATATGCTGGTATCTAAATAAAAATATCTCTAAGCGTGTTCCCAATTCAAGCTCCTATAAGGAGCAGTTCATAAACTGACGATCGCCAACAACTAAGCTTTAGAATTGATAGCCATAAAACACTATTACGCATGCGTTTTATATATAGTCTATATTCTTTCGATAGGTTTGATAGTCCTAACACATGGTTTCTTCTTATTTTTGTTTTAATTAATAATTAATAACTATATTAGTTTTGTTTTGTTTTGTTTTGTTGCGTGTCTCTTGATTTAGAATGATATTTTGTTGTTTGCGCTTAAAGTTAGGTAAAAAAATTAATCATTTAAAATAAGAATAAATTAGCTTCAAAACTATTTGCATCGTTGAAATGTTCGATTTAAGACATATAGATAAAATCGCATTTACGTAGAATAGACGACTTAAATAAATAAAGTGTATAATAAAATTGTGTATGTACTACTCTTCATACATGTATAAGAATATATGTTATTATAATATGATGTACTATTTTTCAATATTTATTCTTTTACATTTTGTTTTGCTTTTTTCTTGCTTATTTGCTTATTTACTTTCAGCATCTCCAGAGATATATAAACATATATATATATACATATATATATATATCTGCATTGTGTTGTATATATTTTGCATACTAAAGAGAAAACACAACTTAACGTTTTACGTTTACAAAATATATATTACCCATTTGCCAAGTTTGCGAGCGTCTCCTAATCGATTGCACTAAACATTGATAGAAAAGATTTTGAATACGTAGATTTTACGAAAAAAAAAAAGTATTTTATAAGTAAATATAACTATGTATATATATACATATATGTATATATATATGGGTTACGCTCCTGCGATAATAAGCATATGGTACATAAAAATTAGAATCGTACTGAAAATTATTGCATTCGCAGTTGCAGATGCTGTCTGTGCTTTTTGCGAAAACTATATTTATAATTAAGGGTGTGTATATTGGTATATAAACGCGTGACTGCAATCCTCCTGCCGATGCATATTAATGTGCCAATAGCACCACCTGAGGCGCACATCCGAAAATAAACTAAATTACTTAATAGTTGACAGCCGATTGCTGATAGTAAACATATTTCTACATAAGAAAGTACATAACGATTATAACACACAATTTTTTTCTTTTTTTTTTTCTTTTTCTTTTTTCCCTTTTTTTCAAGCATTTTTTGTATAGCCTACAGCAGAATCAACATAGGAGAAACGCAAACGCCAAGGGCAAACATCAAAAATAGAGGGATGACTGCGGCGGCTGTTGCTGCTGTTGCTTCTGTTCATTGCATATATATATGTTGTTGTTGTTGTTCTTGTTGTTGTTTTTGTTGTTACTGCTACTGTTGTTGCTACCGTTGTTATTATGGTTGGTAGTTATTTGGATGTTGTTATTATGGTTGTTGCTAGTTATTTGGATGTTGTTGTTGCTGTTGAGGTCGTTGCCGATGACATTGGCATTGTTGCTGCACTAGAGCCTCTCCACAAACTTGCTCAGCTGGTCAGAGGCATCGGGCAGAGAGCCACCAGCACTGCCCACATTGCCCACATTGCCCACATTGCCGGCGTTGACGCCAACGCCGACCCCAACACCGACACCCACTCCACTCACGCCCACATCCTGGGGCACACCCGGCAGCGGCGACTGATGGTGCATGCCATGGTTGTGCAGGCCGTCGTGTGGTCCTTGGGGCGCCGGGGAATGACTGCTCATGACATGGTGCGGCGAGGGCTGCGCTCTGGGCGACGCTGAGGGCCCGCGCGGCGATGGGGCCGAACGCGGCGAGGGCGTTGGCTGTGGCGAGCGTATGGGTGGAGAGGAGCGTGCCGATTGCATAAGCTGTTGCTGCAGCGTGTGCGGCGTAGGCGGACCCATCACGTTAGCGCCGGGTCCACTGGGCAACGTGTTCTGCGGATTTGTGCTGCTCATGCCGCCACCTCCAGCGGCGACCACCTGCATCATTTGCTGCTGTTGTTGCTGCTGCTGCATGGGCTGCTGCTGCTGCATGCCCGGCGGCATGACGCCCATCTGCTGTTGCTGCTGCTGCTGTTGCTGCTGCGGGCCGGGCTTGACACCCGCGCCGCCGCCGCCTTGCTGCTGCTGCAGCATGTTGGACGCAGCTGCATTCGCCATGGAGTATTGGTCAGAGCCGGGCCCGGACGCTCCGCTGCCCACAGCTGCACCCGCTACTGGTATTCCGGTGACATTTCCTCCGCCTCCGGCGTTAAAGTTCCCAGCTGTGCCGCCCGGAAACGGCGGCTGCCCTGCAACGCCCATGTGTGGGCCGCGCTGGCGTTGTGGATACGGCGGCGGATATTGGTTCATTTGTATATAGCGCATTTTGTAGCAGTTCTGATTGGGCACCTGTGCGAAAGAAGCGGGCATTTAATCAGAAAACCAAATATCGGATGAGGCGGGAGCACCTTGAACTGCGCCAAGGACAAGTAACTTATATACGCACATATAAATTTTGACTAACGGAATTAAGTATAAACTCATAGAAATGCTTGACATGTGTCTGCGTCATTGGAGCTTGCATTTACTGCCATTAGCGCCATCTAGCGACTAAACTAGTCCCAATTGTGAGGCATAGAATATGACAGAACGCAAGCACTTGAATGTACATATAGGACGAGTCTTGGCCAAATGTTTTCTCTAGTAACTTCTGTCTGACTCAACGGATTTTAATGAAACGTTCAGCACTTAATCTAGATGTACTGCTGCACATTTGCTGATTTTAGAAAATGTGCCACCTAATTGACTACACTTGTGACAAACGCTCAATCGAAAGAAATTCGCAAATATGTTGAGCCGGTATTCAGCATATAACAAAAATTAAAGTTAAGAGATGTAGATTGCATATCGCACATAATTTGAAAAATACATTTCAACTAAGTATTTAACATATAGTATTAAGACGAGAGAAGTTAGATTTGTTTTTAAACAAACTCGAGCTGCACATGCTATGATAATTTCAAGTCTCTAGATCTCGTAAGTTCTGATATCGACTCTATGGACTCTGCCCCGCCTTCATCTACCTGTTACAGACATTTTAAGGAAACCAATTCCCAGCTTTAGCCGGTGCATCACTTACCATGCCTCCTTGTGAGCCTGGGGGCAAATTCGGCAACATCATGGCCGTGTTCTGCATGTTGGCCATGCGCTGATGCGGAGGTCCCTGCTGCTGCTGCTGCTGTGCGGCCTGCATTAGGCTCACTTGCTGCTGCTGGCCGGGGCCCATCTGCTGCGGCCCGGGACCGGGCCCCTGCTGCTGTTGGTTCATCATATGCTGCATCTGCTGCTGCTGCATCACCTGTTGCTGTTGTTGCTGCTGCTGCGGGGTCTGCGGTCCGTTGCCCGCCTGCAGGGCGCCGCCTGGGCCACCAGCTCCGCCGGCGGCAGCGTTTATTTGGCTCTGCTGGCGCTGTTTTATGATGGCCGCCATAATCTGCGGATTCTGCTTCAGTATGCTGAGTATGTGCTGGTTGCTCTCGTTGGTCGGGTTGTTCTTAATCTTCTGCATGATTTGAGCCAGAGTTTGCGTGTTGAGTGGCGGCCCATTGCCCATGTTGGGTCCCGCACCGCCAGCTCCACCTCCGCCCACGCCTTGAGCTCCGGGCGGTCGTACTCCGCCGCCAGAGGCCGTGGCGCCAATTTGCGCTCCCAGCCCAATGCTATGGGGCGCTCCACCGCCGCCCATGTTCACACCACTGCCCACCACGGGCATCTGTCCGGCTCCAACTCCAACTCCTACTCCGACGCCCAGCTGATTGGGCGGCATGCCCATCATCTGCTGCTGTTGCTGCATGTTCTGCTGCATCAGCTGGTTGGGCTGGCGCATGCCGGGCTGGTTGGGCGCGTTGTTCGCGTAGCGCTGCTGGCCGGGACCGCCGCTGCCGCCCCACTGATCCAGGGGCAGCAGATTGTTGGCGTTCAGAATATTGTTGCAGTTCGCGCCGCTGGGCAGTTGTCCACCACCTGGCACCACGCCGACATTACCAGCAAGCTGATTGCCGCCCACATTGCTCACCATGCCGCCCATGCCGCCTTGGTTCGACACGCCCACGCCCATTGGCCGTTGCATGACGGGCGGCGCCATGGGCACACCCTTGCCAAAGCTTCCGCCGTGCGGCACCTGCTGACGGGCTGCCTCCTCCTGCACCTGCTTCACCACTTGCAGCACATTCGGCGACGGCGAGTGCCCACCGGGCTTCATGCCAATGCCCGGCTGGTGCGGATGTGGCGAGGTCATGCCGGCCATTACGGCCCCCGACACTGGCGACGGCACCGTCACCGTGGACGGACTCATGCCGCCGCCACCGGCTGGCATGATGGCTGCTTGCCCCGACATCACCTGCTGGCTGACTGCCACGCCGGACATGCCCACGACCGGGCCACCGACACCAACGGCGCCACTCGCCACCACTGGCCCGCTAACCGCTGGACCGGGCAGCGCGGCGGGCGCTGCGGTTCTCGACATAAGAGCGACGCGGCGACGCAGCAACTGTTGCTGTTGCAACCTGGAAAGAACAAGGAGTACACGAATTATTTAATGCAAAGTCTCAAATCAATTAAAAGTTACATAATATACATATATGTATGTATGCATCTTTCTTTCTTTCTTTCTTTCTTTCTTTCTTTCTTTCTCTCTCTCTCTCTCTCTCTTTCTTTCTTTCTTTCTTCTTACTTTTGCTGGAGCTGCTGCTGTTTGAGCTTGTGCTTGATGTTGGGACAGAAAGGCACTGGACACTTCTGCTCCTGACAGTGCTTGGCGTGGTAGCAGCAGAGGGCGATGAGCTGCTTGCATATGGGACAGCCACCGTTGGTCTTTCGCTTGCAGTTCTTGGTGTGCTGGACGACGCGCTTCATCTTCTGGCAGGAAGGCAAACGGCAGTTGGCATCGCGACACTGGCACGCGTGCACCAGGGATTGGATGCATCGCTGAATGGACTGCTTGCGCGCTTCCTGCGGATTTGCCTGCTTGAGATCGGCCGGCGCCGAGCCATCGTCCAAATCGAAGCCCAGTTTCTCCATCTTGTGCGGATGTCCGACCTTCTCCTTGCACACCGTGCAGAGATCAAAGTCCTGCAAATCGGAAAACAAACAGAATCGAAATGAGTAAGCGCGTTGACTTCACTCAAAGTGGAAACCGGAGACTGGAAAATAACCAATTGCAAATTGAACTTACATCACAGACGGTGCAGTGGTAGCGCGTCTCGACCGCCGTCTTGCAGTTGTTGCACGTGTAAACGAACTTGTCCTGGCCCTGATTGTGCAGCTCGTACAACATGGATAGCGTGGAGAACTGTGCGCGTCGCAGCGATGAGAACTCGTAGTGCTTGTCGCGGGCAAGTGTAAGGAATGCATCGCGTCCGTCCATCAGATCACAGGTCAGCAACGGATCCGGATCTTGAATTGGCTGCAACACAAAGGCGACGAATGAAGGAGTGAATGAATGAATGAATGAATGAGGCAGTGAATCATCGAGTATTAGATAATATGACTTACCGCCAGACTTGCTGCTGATTGGGCAGAGTGTAAGCGTATGACAAAGAAGACCTCTTTGTGCTTCTCCATGGTCGCATAGATCTTGGCGGACAAATCGTTGCCCGACTGATGCTCGTTCGACTTTTTGCTATTCTTACGCTGCGCTGCTTTGGACTTGTTTGACTTTTTGGCCTTCTTTTGGCCTTTCTTTTTGCCGTCGCCACTAACCTCGTTATCCTCAATAGAAAAGAGCTGCAGATCATTTGAAAAAAGCTGTTAAGTTACACAAATTATTTTGTTAAGAACTATGTTGAAAAAAAAAACGAAACGTACGTTAGCTGCGGCAGCTGCTTCGGCTGCCTCCGCCTGTTTGCGCTTCTCCTCCTCCTCTTGGTCGAGCTCCTTGATGCTCTCCTCCAGCACGTTGGGCCAAAAGTCGCCCTCAAAGTAGGGCAGCTCCGCGGCCGAGCCGAGCTTATCTTCCATGGCCTGCTTAAGTATGTCCTTATAGTCCTGTATGATGCGCTCAATCATGCCCTTGTCCAGCATCTTCTTGTACCACTCCTGCAGGCGCTTCGGCTTGGGAATTTTCTGATCCGTCGGGTGACAGTGAAATATGTAGTCATCGCCCTCAGACGGCGGGCACGCCCAAATGTGCGCCATCGTGTAGCCCAGCTGCTTCACATAGTCCATATAGCCCAGCAGGATCTCGTGGTAGACTGCCGTGCGATACTGGCGTGGCCGAAAGAAGTGCACCGAATCGAGGTAGGCGATGTAGACGCGCCGCGTGTTTGGCGCCGGGCACTCGGACCCATACTCCTGGACGTGCATGCCGAAGAAGCAGACGTCGATGCCATCCACTTCTTCAAAGGCAAACAAGGCTTTCGCGCGATATGGGAACTCCTGCATCATCTCGCCGCCCTCCACAAACCGCCGTCGCATGCCCGGCTTCACCTCGACGCACTTGTCCGAGGAGGACACCACGCGTATGTGCACCTCGCCGGCGCTGGCTTCCTTCTTCTTGAGGAAGTTGTTCACGCGCGTCTCGATGTAGACGCCCAGCTTGGTGGTGGGCAGGCGCTTGGCATTGAACTTGTTCTCCTTCCGCTTGGAATTCTTCTTCTTCAGACAGTTATCACATACAAAGCCGCCCGGCCATATCGAATCGAGCCAAAGCACGCAGATCTGATGCTGTTTGCGTCCGCACTCCTGGCAGTCCACGAATGGCTCCAGCTCCAAGTGGTCGTTCTTCATCTCCTTGAATTGGTCCTTTTTGATTTGGCTGGATGTGGATAAGAAAGTGCGATGTTAGCAGAAGTTGTACTTGACCTTGATCTCGATCACGATCGCGATCTCGATCTTGATTTTGACTTACGTTTGCGACTGCTGCGGATCCTCGCCCAGAGTAACAGTATCTCCTTGTATGTCATTAAAGCACTTTTGGCAGAACGTGTATCTATTTGAGGCGACACCGTATTCCTTTAGACTGTGGTGATTGATTGATTTGCATGGCAACAATTTACGAATTGATGGCGATGAGCAATGGCGATAGGCGATGAGCAATTGGACAATTGGACAATTGATATAACACGTACGATATACGAAATGATTGCCAAAGGCAGCATAGGTAAAACAAAAAATGTCACACGAACAGCAACAACAAATACATAGGTGTACATAATATCCATGTATTTCATGTAGATGCATATGAGCAATTTCATTTTGAATATTATAATATTTTTGTTGTACGTTATTGTTGTTGTTGTTGTTGTTGTTGAGGCCAAACACGTAAATGCATTAACAATTTGGTTATGTTTTGTTTTTAATAATTGCAGTGTGAGATTCGTCAAAGTCGTGTCGATTGATTGATTACATGTGGAATTAATACGGGAATGGAAATAAACGAAAAAATAAAAATAAAGAAAATATTTCAAATTAGAACTATATAATACACAATCATTAAACTATTTTCAATAAATATATTAAGATATTGAAAAGAAGAAGAAGAAAAAAAACAAATGATGTGAAGGGGAATAAACTAACAATATTCACTCCGCATGAGATGGGTTTTCATTGTGCCAATGAGCATTGTTAACTGATTTCTGCAGAATTGTACACATCGATACACATTTATACATATATAACAAATGATTTATCAAGTATAGAATAGATATTAACACAGATGTATAGAAAGCGGGCCAAATCGAAAGCAAATGATGAGAAAGCTAGGGTGTTACACACATAGAAAATGGATTCAGATAGCTCTCAAATCCCAATCATAATAAGAAGCTTGCGCTCTAAAGGCAGTCACTCAACTGTTCCTTTGTTTCTATTCACTTTTAATTTTAATTTATTTTTTTGTCGGCGCTTCTCTTAACCAATCAAAATACTGAATCAGAAAGTAGTGTCTCATTCATTGAAATAAAGCAAGTCACATCTAGATGCATATTATGTAGGTGTTGTACACATTATTTTTGATTTATTCAGACAACAACATGCACCAGGCAGACTCGCAGGACAACAAATTTGCGTGTGTGTGTATGTGTGTGTGTGTATGTGTGTGTGGTTTCTTGAATAATTGTATTTATTTATTTTATTTTATTTTTTTTTTTTGCTTGTGTGTGAGCTGGCGAATTGTTGTGGATTGTATATAGAGACATATACAACTGAGACGATGCAACACAAATAAGAAGAAAAGCACACGCACACACACACTCACTCTCGCGCACACACACACACACACAGATAGAGAGAGAGTGAGACACACACATATGCATCATCGCATCGAAGTTAATTTCAGCTAATTTTCTTACTTAATCATAGTGTGCCGAAGAAGCAACTTAATGGAGAATGAGGGCCGTGTTATGTGCTGTTGTCATCGCTCGATGTGGAAAGCCGTTTTCAGAGCTCAGAGCAGCGTGTCGGTATATGAAACATATTTCCATGTTTTAACTACTACATTCGGTTGTTGTTGTTGTATATTCAATAAATGTATGTTATGTGTGCTCGATATGCAATCGAAATGCATGTTTAGCTTTACTAGATGCCTATATATCGATCGCCGTTGTTTCAGTGCACAACTTTGACAATATATGCATATATAAAAGATGTACTCATTTGGCTTAGACATCGCTTGTTATATATGGATACTTGTGTATCTGAGTCTATCTGTACCTGTAGTTGCTTACAGCTCTTGGCAACTTGGCTAAGAGACAAATGCTCATCATGGCTGTGATTTTGTTAGTTATTCAATATCTAAGGATCACCAAATGTGCCAACAAATCAGAATATATGCATATTGAACATATACAGCAATGAAATTGCATATCAAAGACCAGTTTGCCTCGAAACTCTTTCAAATCGAAATCAAAGTTGTCTTTGTATCAATCAAATTGAATATATTTCTCAGAGAGTTGTATATATGTACATATTTCAGTTTATTGGCACACTTCCGGAGTGGACGACTAAGGATAGTAACAACAGCTGTATGTGAAAGCGTTTGGGTGTGTGTTTTTATTATTTATGTATGCATTTACAGTTAGACATTGCACGGCTGGCTATTGCACTTGGGGAACGCACCTGTTTTGGTAGCTGTAGTATTTGGCGTCGCGCGGAATCGTGCACAACTGCTTGCCGTAGCAGCAGAGCACCTGCGGATTGAACGTGTACTTGCGGCCGCAGCAGTAGCCCAGCGCCTGCATCACGGGATCTATCTCCTGCTCGAACACCTCCGACAGCTGCGGGCAGGGCAGAGGGCACACCAAGAAGAAAAGAGAGCAATTCGTTAAAGATACCGCAATGGAATGGCTTTGATTAGTGCGAGGTTTAATGCGAGTTTGGCTACGATTAATGGGCAATACATGAATCACACTTTGTCTTACTCTTAATCGGAAACAAATTAACATTGGAGCACTTGAAAGTCATTTATCTGCGAGTGAGTGATGACTCCCGATTCGTTCGCTTTGTTGCTTGATTCTCGTTCATCATTTCTCACTTCAGATTTTGAGTTAGTTGTGAATTTACCTTGGTGCAGTAGCGATAGACGCGCGACGTCTTGCGGTTGTAGAGCCACGCGTTGTCGAACATCAGCCAGACGTCGTCCACATACTCCCATGGATCACTGTATTTGCCGTTCAGTATGTTGCTGCGAATGGTGCCCAGGTCCATTGGCTTCTTGACGATCTCGAAGTAGTCGGGTATGGCCAGCGCCTGCGGATCGACGGGATAACGAAATGGCACCGACTCCGGCTCCTGCCGGTACAGCTTGTCCAGGGTGGGCATCAGGGCAGTGCGCAGCTCTTCCGGGTTGAATTCTACAATGGATAAAGGACAACAGGTATTTCCTCCTCTAGTTAACTATTTGTCTCTCACATCGCAAACCGTAATTCGTAAATCATAAATTCATAAACAACGACCCCACTATTGCCATCTCTTTCGTATTAATGTAGTTCGAGAACATATTGCCCTACCACTCTCTCTCTCCCAAAACCCCAAGCCAACAATTATTGCTCGACACTTACGGCATTTCTTCTTCTTGTCACCAGCATTGGGTGCCAGAGGCTCAGGCACATGCGGCTTCGTTTCGGACTTGATCTTAATGTCCGCTGCGAGTCCCGAGGAAACGCCATCGATAGCACCATTGATGTCGTCCTTGCTATCGACGCCGCTGCCACCTATCGTCCCATCGCCATTGGCGCCCCCGGCAATGCCACTGGAGACGGCCGATTCGTCCACGTCCATTGGCTCCGACTTGATAGGCTTCACATCTGCGCCGACTTCCGTCTTAATGTCGATCTTCAGCATGCTGGTGCCGTCGTTGTTCACGTTTTTGCCCTTGCCGCCTGTGGAGCAGTCCATTTGTGAGCTGTCGCCGTTGCCGCCGCAGCTATCGTCCATGAACTTCTTCTTGATGTCGTCCTCCTGCTTGATGGAATCCAGCTTGCCCTTGGACGCCATTCCGCCGCCGCTGCCGCCATTACTTCCGTTCGTATCGTTCGCTCCAGCCGGCGACGGCGTCTCATCGTCATTATCACGCGCCGCCGCCTCCAGTGCCGCCATCTGGGAGGACAGGCTGCTCGAGCTGCTCATCACCCGGCCCGGCGCACTGTTCTCGCTGTTGCTGCGCGCCATCTGCAGCAGGGTGCTGCTCACCGGCGTCGCACTGCCGTTGCCGCTCGTCGAGGTTGTCGTCGATGTGGGCGTCGCGCCCGACGACGAGGTACAGCTCAGCGGCGTCGTCACCGTTGTCGTTGTGACGACGACCGAGCTGCTGGTGCTGCTGCCACTGCCGCCGCTGGAGCATGTTGCTGCTGCCGATGCGGGCGTACTGCTGGCCGTCAGGCCCGACGCACTCGTCGCCGGCACCGGCGAGGTAGGTATATATGGCGGAGTTGCTGCTCGATTGCTCAGAGGCTGCATCAGACTGCTGACGGAGGGCGGATTGTTCGACGGCGTGCCAATGGGACCATTGGACATGAAGCTAGGCGAGGGGCTTGGCGCAGCCACGGTACCGCCGCCAATGCTGCCAGCACCAGCGCTTGCTGCGCCCGCATTCAGTGCATCCAAGCTGGTGGGCGTGGGTGGCATATTGTTGAGCACACTGCCAGGAGGCTGTGTCTTCTGCTGCATGGGTGAACTGAAGGCATTCGTTTGCTGCTGTTGCTGTTGTTGCTGCTGCTGCTGCTGCTGCTGTTGCTGTTGCTGCTGTGGCTGTTGAATGGACGTGGCATTGCTGAACGGAGACTGAGGCAATAGCATGGCCGCTGCGTTCGTCTGCTGCTGATGTTGCAGCAAGCGCTGCTTCATAATCTCGCTGATCTGAGAATTCTGCGCGCCGGAACTGCCATTCGCATTTATGAACTGCTGCTGCTGTTGTTGCTGCTGCTGCTGCTGTTGCTGCTGCTGCTGCTGCTGCTGCTGCTGCTGCTGTTGACCGGGCACCGGACTGGTTAAGATGCCCGGACCGCCACCGACCGCCGTCGCTGACTGCATCGTTTGCTGCGTGTTGAACGGCGACAGGACCGGATTCGCCACCATTCCGCCTGGACTGGGGCCCGGTGGTCCGACCAACATGTTGCCCTGGCCGGGCTGCTGCTGTTGCGGGAATTGCATGCGCTGTTGCTGCTGAATGGCGAGCATGTTGCCGCCGGGCGAGTGACTCCGCATGCTCGCCGCCACAGCAACCATGTTCGGCTGCCCAGCCGCTGTCTGCTGCTGCTGGCCGACGCCTACGCCAACGCCGACGGCGACGCCCATGCCAGGTGCCTGGGGACGCATCTGCTGTTGCATCATGCCACTCGGGCCACCCCCACCGCCACCGCCCATCGGACTAATAATGGGACGCACCACCTGGCCTGGCTGCTGCTGCTGCTGCTGCAGCGCGTTGTTGGGCACGGAAGCCGGATTTACGACGCCGCTGTTGGGACCGCCTTGCTGCATCTGGAGCAGCTGCTGCTGCTGGTGCTGCTCTTTGCGCTTGAGCCGCTTCTCCTCCAGCTCCTTCTGTATCTTGTAGATCTTCTCGGCCAGCAGGTGATAGTACTCAGAACGGTTCTTGGCCATCTCATACATATCCTTCTCCACCTTCTCAGCGTACGTGACCAGATTGTGCATGCGCTTGTCCTGCATCGTTGTCGGATCTGAGGTCGGAAAGATCGCCTGCACCAGCTTGTGCACGAGATGGTTGCGCAGGTCCGCAGTGACCGACTCACGCCAGTCCTTCTCGCTGTCGCTGCCGTTGCCAGGCGCACCGCCGCCCGGAGCACCGCCCGCTGCAGTGCCCACCGCATTGGACCCAGCCGACGCGCTGTTGGCGCCGCATGTCGTGTCCGCCGGCATCAGGACGCTCGCGCCGCCAGACGCACTGTTGCCGCTGCCTGGCGCACCGCCAGACGAGACGACATTGACGTGCGCCTGCAACTGAGCCTGCGCCTGGCCCTGCATCTTCAGCTTGGCCATCTGGTCGGACTGGCCAACCAGCTGTTGCTGCTGTTGTTGCTGTTGCTGTTGCTGCTGCTGCTTGTCGCCGACGCCAACGAAGTTGGCATTGTTGAAGCCAACGTTGACGGAAAGCGGCGCTGGAATGTTGCCCAATTGCTGCTGCTGCTGCTGCACGCTCTGCTGCTGCGCGTTGGGCTGCTGCTGCTGGTCCACCATGTTTTGGAGCGCGCGTCTGCGTCCACCGGTACCCGTGTTGCACCCCTGCAGCATCAGCTGCCCACTCTGCTGAGCAGCTTGCGCCGCCTGCTGCTGCTGCTGCTGCAAACTGCCGACGTCGTTGGCGCCGGGCAGGACGTTCTGGCCGGGCACAGGCACTGGTACGGGCACGCCGCCAGACGCCATTGTACCGCCTGGCTGGCCGGGCTGCACGCCGAGCACTCGCACCGACGGAGCGCCCTGCATTCGTATTCCAGGTGCCATGCCTTGCCCGGGCGCGCCAAGCATGCCGCCTGGTACTGGCCCTACTTGGCCTATGCTGCCGACTCCTTCGAATCGCCGCAGCTCCTGCTGTTGCACCTGCTGGTGCTGCTGCTGCTGTTGTTGCTGTCCCATGTCTGTGTTGCTCTTGGGCACGTTGGACGCGCCGGCCGTTTGTTGCTGCGGCAGGACAATCGCCGTATTTGGAGCGCCGCAAGATCCAGCGCTCTGCGCCACTTGTTTGCTGTCCACACCGACTCCGACTCCGACTCCGACACCACCTCCGACTCCGACTCCAACGCCAGACGGATTCTGCGGCACCTGCTGCTGGCCCTGCGGAAGCTGCTGCTGCTGTTGTTGCTGCTGCTGCTGTTGCTGCTGCTGCTGCTGTTGCTGCTGTTGCTGTTGCTGCAGCGGTGACGCATTTGGCGCACCAGCCGCACCACCTCCGCCTCCACCGCCGCTGGCATTCTGAAAAAGCGAATTGTTCTGCCGAAAGGGAGAGCAAATGATGCAATCGGAACGCTGGCAGGTCTTGTAGTGGAGCAGTATCTGGCGCGACGAGGTGCAGTGCTGCATTGGACAGTCCTTGCTCTGCTTGCACGTGGCCATATGCGCTAGCACGGCCTTCATGGCCTTGCAGTAGTTGACGCTGCAGACCTCGCGGTTTGGATTCATGTTCTCGCGCTTGTTGCACTTGTGCGCGTGCAGCAGAAGCATCAGCTGCTGCTGGATTTGCTTCTTGCGCTCATCCGACATGTTGGTTGCCGCTGGCGCTGGCGCTGCCACGCTAACGGACGACGCCACGCCCGACGCTATTGCTTGCTGTTGTTGAGATGTTCCGGGCTGCTGCTGCTGCTGCTGTTGCTGCTGCTGCTGTTGCTGGGAGTGCCCTAGGAGTTGGTTAGGCTGAGGCGCGCGTGGCCCCATGGCGCCCTGTTGCACGCCTGGTGGCTGTTGCTGCTGCTGCTGCTGGGAATTCATTTGCGCATTCGCCGCGGCCAGCTGCTGTTGCTGTTGCTGCGTGTTGCCAACGAGTCCACCGGCGCCTGGAGGCGCACCATCGCTGCCCAGATTGGACATGGGCACGACGGTGCCAATAGGTCGATTTCCCTGGGGCATGCCGGCGCTCATGTTAGGCGCGACGACGCCACCGACGCCACCAGCGCCCCGCTGCGCCATCTGCTGCGCGAGCAGCTGCGTGTTGTTGCTGCCGGGTGCACCATAGTTGCCGACTCCATAGGGCATGTTGTTGATTTGGCCTGCACGAAAGGACAATAATGAAGCTGCCCATTTGGCTAATCTATGTGACTGTGTGGGTATGGTTGGTTGTTTACTTACCCAGCTGCATGTTTGGGTTTTGCATGCGGGGGCCGCCGCCGGCTCCGACCACGCCGCCCGGTCCATTGCCACCGCCAGCTCCGCCGCCCATCAAGTGCGGGCCTCGCAGCAAATGCTGCTGCCCAACCATGCGCCCCATCATCGGTCCATTCTGCATATGCATGCCCTGGCTGGGCGCTGCGCCGGTCACCGAGCTCACGCCCACCGAGCCGGGCACGGTGCTCATCATGGATGCCCCGCCTGGCTGCTTCAGTGTGTTGACTAGGCCACCAATGGTGCCCATGCCGCCGCTATTCGTCAGCACCATGTTGCCTAGATTGCCCTGCGCTATGCTATTCATGCCTGCCGAGCAGAAGAATTGATTAAGTGCGATGCATTCCACCTCATCCACGCATCTAGCTTACCTGGTATGGAATTCATGCCGTTGTTGCCATTATTCGATATGGACATGGGCATTGAGTTGACCATGCCCATCTGTGTCGCCACCTGCATGCCAGCCGTGTTGGGCGATTGCAGGTTGGGCGACTTGCTGCCCAGCTGATTCATGCCCGGCACCACCATGCCGCCGCCAGCGCCTTTGTTGCCCTGTTGCTGGTGCTGCAGCAACTGTTGCAGATGCTGGTGGTGCTGTAGCTGACGCAATTGACTGCCGGCAGCGCCACTGCCGCCATTACCACTGCCATCGTCACCGCCGCCACCGGCTCCGTTCATCTGTGGTGGCACGACGCCTGGACCAGGTCCCTGAGTAGGTGGTTTGTTTGGTCCCCCAGCGCCAACGACGCCGCTGGCTGTGGACACAACGCCGCCACCGCCTGTGTTCAGCTGATCCGACCAGCCGCTGTTGGAGGACACCAGTTCATCGGGCAGATTGTCCTCCAGAAAGTACAGATCCGCTACGAAAAACAAGATTCGATTAATACGTATATCATGGTATGGTATGGTCGAGGATGCCTAACGCATGTCAAATCTACTTGATCAAAATGCTCTGAATGAATATGGAACTGATGGATCCCAAAGTACTGCCAAGCAATATATCTAAATAATACATGATATGTGAAATGCAGCTTGTGGGAATCTCCTGACTGTTTCTTATTACTACTCCCGCCCTCACAATACTCACTTTGATCCATTTTGACCCGCTTCTGTGGCGGTTCGTCCAAATGATCGGCCATCATATATATAATTATTTGCTAGCCCTTGAGAGGCAGCAGAACGCGTCCTTGTGAGAATAAATATGTGTACGTGTTTGCTTGTTGTGTGGTGTTGGTTGTTGGTTGTTGGTTATGGTTACGTTATCTTGTCTGCAACGGTTGCACGACTAGCAGTACAAGATGGTCCATAGGGGGGAAAAAAAAATTAAAAAAAAAAAATCTATCTGTGCAACTCTGAATGACGACGGGTTGTGGAGAGTTGACAGTGTCGGGCTATGGACAACAATTTTTGATTGCTTGCGTTTCTTGTGTTTCGACAGTTTTCGCACGGATGTTTGAATTTGTTTCTTTAGATGTTCGCTTTGCTTTGCTTGGTATTTTCTTTCTTGCTTATCTTCTCTCCTTCGGCTTCTTTTATAAACTTGCGATCTTGGTGGCAGTCAACAATGACGACACTTGCTCAGTAAATTGTTTTAATAAAATTTTGCATAAACTAGCGGGAGTTGTAAATAAATGTTGCAACTCCTTTGTTATTATATGCGCTGTTGGGGCTGTTGCTGCTGCTGCAACTTCTTCTTTGTCGTCGTCTTGTTCTTCCTCTTCTCCTGACCTTGCTATCGTCTGCCGCTGCGACGAAGACGTCGACGACGTCGTCCGCGCTATCGTCACCGCGACCGTGCCAGCTGAGCACGTCGCTGACTCCGTTGGCTCGCCGTTGAGATCGTTGTTGTAGCTGCTCCTGCTACTACTGGCGTACCATGCGCCGCCAGTAGACGTCGTTCCTAATGTGCGCCTTCGCTCCAGACGCAACGCTTCCGCTACTGCTTCTGCTACAGCTGACCTCCAAAGCCTTAGATACGTCTGCTGCTCCTCCTCCTGCTTCTGCTGCTGTTGCTGCTGTTGTTTTTGCTTTTGCTGCTGTTCCTCCTCCGGATTGTTATCCTGCTGTTGCTGCTGCTGCTGCTGGTTGTTGTTGATTCTGGTTATGTTGTTTGTCATACAGCAGCATGCGCACGAGTGCATTTTGTGGGTAGGCGCCAAATCCACCAAATTGGCCTGATTCGAACTCGAATATATCGGCCTTGGCTAGGATTCGAAATGCTTCCAGTCCTCTGCAACAGATGCTGCAAGTGAAACTTGAAGTAAAAGAAGACGGCGTGTAAGAAGAGAGAACACTTAAACCCAGCTAGCAAATGCGTTTGATGTTGCATTTGCCGCTGCCATTGCTGCTACTGCTGCTACTATTGCTGCTGCTGTTCCTATCTATTTGTTGTGATTTTGTTTGATTTTTAATTGTTGTTGTATTGGTGGTAGTGCTATTGTTGTTTACCGTTGCTTCTATTTCTGTACTGTAACATTTTATCGTTGCGAATAGATGTTTTGTTTGATTTGCAACTTGTTTTGGTTTGTTAAAATGTTCAGAGCATTTTATTATTGTTGTTGATCTGTAGAAATGCATTCACATTTCTGCACTTTACTTTTTTCTTTTTTCTTTGAGTGACTGATTCTGTTGTTGGTGTTGTTGTTGGTGGCGGTGTGTTTACATACGCGGTATTCCACATTGCACATAACTGTAAAAATCTAACAAATTATGCTCTCCGATTTGAGTAAAAGTTAGTTACAAACGGACGCAGCACACACACGCACATACGAACACTGGCGAACATACAACATAGACACACACATATTAATTAAATGACCTATAAGATTCACATTTGATACACAATGTCTCCTCCACACTACGCACATCGACAAACAATGTATTATAACAGCATATTGCAAATGAGTTTTTATTTAATTTTTTTTTTTTTTCGTTCCGTTTCGAATGCGGCTGCCGTTGCTGTTGCCGCTACCGCCTGCTCAACCAAAAACAACTCGCTGTTTTCTGTTTTTAGGTCTTGTTGTTAGTCGTAGTATTCGCCATCTCGCTGATATTTCTCCTCTATCTCCATCTCGCATACGTCTACGTGTTTCATTCGCGCGCTCTCCCTCTCTCTCACACACTCTCACTAACAGACACACACGCGGACACACGCAAACACACAAATGTGTCATAATTAAGTATGCAAGCGTGTGTGCGTGTGTATGTATGCGCACTATTACTTGGCCAACACGCACGCACGAAATGGGCCAGCAGCGTGCACAAGTGCGGAGGCAACCGCTTCAAAATTGCGCGCAAAAATTATTGAGCATTTAATTCGAAATCGCCAACCAATAGAAGCTTCTAAATTGAAAATATTAATAATCATAGGGCACTGAGTTGCCTGCAATTTAACATGAAGTCATGGATCGCGCATTTCTTAAAAAATCATAGTTTGTATTTTGAATTTTACTTCCGCATGTTAGCGCTGGCTCATCGTGCATGTGAACATCAGTTGCTTTCTGCGCCAAAGATGAGTGGCGAGTAAATAGTCGGAATATACCAGAGGCTCGAAGCACCAGCTGAAGCTTTAAAGCTTTTTCGCGTACGAGCGATTGCCGCTACGATTTCTGTTAGCTGATTTTTTTTTTAGCGAGTACATCGCAACACAGACCGTTCGCTCGCACGCACATGTACATGTAGATATATTATATATGTATAAGTGTACTAATTTGTATGTGTATCGGTATAAATATACATACATGCATACGTCTATACGTATGTATGTATAAACGATTATTTTGAGTCTCGCCCGAGACGCGCGACGTTTTCACTGCACACATGTAAAAAATTCAGCGAGACAATAATATTAACGAGTAGAGAGCGAGAGCACACATTAAACGCTTGCGTTGGTATTGGTATTTTTCACACTGGTGTGCATACACACAGCACAGGCACTGCCAACGAGTGCGAGCAGCATTGGAAAAAGAAAGAAAAACAGACGACAGAAAATATATTCCTTTTTTTTTTGTCGTTGCTCGTCCGTTTTCTTCTTCATGTCGTATCAAAGTTTTCTATTGCAGAAATTTTGTGTTGTAGGCGTATTTTTGATTTATAGCGTCGTGGAAAAAAATTATTAAATTTTTTGCACTAAATACGAAATTTTTAAAAATTGCAAAGAAAAATATAAAAAAAATTGCAGCCAATTTTAAAACTTCGGTTAATAATTTTTAAATAATTTTTTTACTGCACTTTTATTTTTTAAATATTTTTTAGATTTTTATTTAATTTCGTATTTTTACCTAAAAATTTTCACATTTTTCGTTGATTTAAGAAAATTTTAACAAATTTTTTCGCAACACTAAAACAAAAATTTTCAGTCCGCTTGTGTTGCAGCAGAAAGTCAACTGATTTCGCGAACGAGTAGCAACAGAACTAGAAAGAAAGACCGAAGCTGAAACGACTGTGACTCTGTGTTGTGTGTTAGTGTCAGACGACGACTACATCAACCATTAACGCCAGCTAGTGGCTACAGCGAGTAAGCGTACTCAACAAAGAGCAAGAGCGCACGCTTGCTCACGGAAAGAGATACCCGTAGCCTGAGTGCGGTGCCCAAGCAAGTGTTTAAGCAATTGGCTGCTTTAGGCGGCACGCGTTAGTATGTGTGCGTGAGAGAGAGCGTCGCTAAATAACAATCTAACGAGAGACCGCAGTGTTGCATAGTGAGGAATGTGATTGTTCATGTTTTTACCCGTGGCGGCAACACTCGGCGCAGTCTGTATTTCGAAAAACAATTTTGGTGTCGTCGTATTAGGAAGCGTCATTAGTTCTATCCTTGTCTGGCAGCTAAGCAGTCACTAGAAACTCGAGAGACAAACAAATCAAATATGTAATATGATAAAATTTAATGTCAGTAGATAAACTATTTAATCAACCCTAAACTTATAACCTATTTTAAAAAACACAAATAAAAATTGCGGGCATATTATAATTAATAATTTTACAATATTTTTTATTATGTTAAATGGTTTCGCGCTGTTGCACACTCGTTCTTATTTACGTATTTCAACACGAACGACATTTATACGACAACACAGATGTGAATAGGTTAGACAGAGTATACACACTACGGAGAATAGCAAAGTGAAAGCGGGACAACCGGTGATGGACGCACTCAACGAGCAGTGTTGCCATTCTGGCTATTTTGTAGCAAATCGCGCTATTCTTCAAAGCGATGTGCAATACAAATTTTTAAGATGCTATTAGCTATATTTTCAACTATATTATAAGAGATGAGTTTAAATTTAATGGAATAAGTTTATAAACAACAGTTTCGCGAAGAATGGACAAAGTCCTCTCAATTTAAAGACTGGATTCGAAGAGTCGAATCGGACAATATGAGAGCAATTTTCTTTAGTGTAAATGCAGTATTTTTGCAAAATTGCATGACTTGGAAATGCATGTTGATACAAAAACACACAAAAGTGCGTTTGGCGTCTTTGTATAAAACCCCAAAATTGTTTTTGAGCTACAATACTACAAGAAATAAAGCAGTGAATGAGCAGACGGCATTGTGCTTGTATCATTGTTAAAAGACACAGTAGGTTGCGCGACGAGCAGCTCCGTTAGTTTTGATGTTGACTAACAGCTCTGTTGTGACGTCAAATTTTCAGATTGTGCTCTGTTATACTGGTTGAAGCTTGGCGGGAAGCAATGATATAGCCAATATGCCAGCAGGAATGGTTGATGAACAACATAATTAACTGAGCTATCAACATCAGTAATGTTTATTTATGCCAGTTTACCTACTTATAGTACTCTGACATGTCAGAAACTTCCGGTGGAACGACATAAATTTGGTGTATTAATTAAAATATCGAAAACTGAGCATGATATGAGTATTGAAGCCTAAGGAAACATATAATCGGCCTTAATCACTATCAAAAACCTTGGTGGAAGCTAACAATGCTGCGTATCATCTATGGCCATGAGATTCGTAATAAAATGAATGAAATTAGTACATATAGTCATGAAGATTGATGGGAAATGCATAATACTTAGTAGTAATTCTTTAGTTTTACATAGCTGCCTGGAAAACGACTTACAGTATAGAAATCTAAATATTGTCTGATGCGTGAATCTATATAGAACTTGTGCCCAGCCCGTTTGATTTACTCTACTAGACTTAAAAGAAATAACAGTGTCGAAATCGCTAGAATTTCATACAAGTTGAACGCGCGCGCACCACTTTCTGAAATAGTGACGTCACGCTGTGAAATCAGCTGTTCGTTTTGCATAACCTACTATCACTCAATCATGATGTTCAATGTGTAGTGGCATCAAATTCATTTGCATTGGAACATACAAAGCGACATCTACTATTTGTAAATAATATTGCCCACGCTCATCGTCCATAGACAGACGGAGTGCTACAATCAAGTATAATGTATCTATTCAATGAATCGTCGGCTGGGTCCAATATGACGGCCACTGGAGCGGGCGGCGGTGCGCCTGGC